GTATATTGCTTTCCTTAAACCTATGTAGTGAGTCGTGTAGGTGGCGTGTTGAAATTAGGACCATACATTGGGCGACTTTTCTCCTCATCGCTAGCCTGTTTCCAAGAGGGGGAAGAGAAGGTCTTGCAAGTTGGAGAGCATATGAGATTTATCCATCGCAGCATTGCATCTATCGACTGAACAAAGTAACTTTCGAAGTGGACTAGGAAGGAATGCGAATAGGTATTTCAATTGTTGGACTAAATGAATAGGCAAGGAAGGCAAGGCACTTGACTGAAAGGTCCTACCCGACTCATTCTTAGGACAGGCTTAGCTCTAGCTATCTAAAATGAAGAAATTGTACAAGGGAGAAATCCTATTTCACAAAGTAACTTCTCAAAGGTCGAAGGCGTAGTATCGATTGCTTGTGTTGGACTACCTTTATAGGATATATCTGATATATTGTTAGGTTTTGGTTGGACTGCTTTGTACAGAATTCACTGAGATTGACTTTAGATATCGCATTTCCGGTAAAGCATTTACTGTTCGAGATTTCCGGTATGTAATTGACTCGTATATAAAGAAAGAAAGTCTTTCAATTCCTAGTTCGATATTCCAGATATTCCATTAGAATGACTGATGTTGGACTAGCTGAATCCCTAAGCTTTGCCGTATTGCATTAGAAAGTGGGGAATTCCATCGTCTTTGGTATGCGAATTTCAAGCTGCTACTGCTCCGATAGCTGCTTTAGAGGTTGCTTAGCCGGTATCTAACTGAACTAGCTGGTTTAGATTTCATTAGTTGAAAGTCTCGCACTATTTACGCTATTTCAACAAAGACTGTGTAAAATGGATATGATATAAGGGAAGGATTGACCTGTTGGTTGACTTCTCAATTGAGAAAAGACTGGAATGAAACTGGTAATGCTCTCTTCGGTTTTCATCCGGTTGGCAATCCTATCTTCGGTCCTAGCTGAGTTCTGTCTTAGCTTTACGGCAAAGGGATAGGCTTAGCCTATTGAATGGGGAGAGCTAGGATGCATTCACCATCGAATAACGGGGTAAAAGGCTACTTTCAGATCTCTTTCCCTGTAGTCGTACTATGACTTTCTGAGGGATTGAACTCTAGTCGTACTATTCGATATCATCTAGCAAAGAAGTCAGCTATGGGCAAGACTTGGGGCGGGCCACCAAAGAGGGTTTAGCCGGTTAGAGCTCAAGAGAATCGCTTCACGCCTTGCTTGCAAGAGCTAGACAGCAAAACCATTCCTAGCAACCATTGCTTTCGAAAGAGCAACCATTTCAGGGAACATCTACTTGAGAATTTTCTATAGTGAAAGCCTTTTTTCCAGGCAAAGACCCCACTCATAGGGTGAAGGCAGCCATCACTGGAGAATAGCTCCTAGCCTTATTCTAAGAAGGCGCATGCCATCAAACGAAAGGAAGGGCCCAAACTGTTAGGGAGCATATGTTTCCAATAGCAAGAGTCAGTCCAAGCAGCGGAACACGTTACCCATTTCAACTAGGGAAGTTTCCAAACTCAAATTCGAAATGAGATCTTCCATCTTGATTAGCATGGTAGGTAGGCATGAAAGATGAGGCAAAGAATGTTCCGTTTTCGAAATGAGATCTTCCATCTAAAAGTCAACCTCTTTGTATCATAAGTCAATGTCATTATTTCTTATTTTTAAGAAATTTAAAGTTCGTTTGATTATTTTAATATTATTTTTAAACGAACGGGTGAAAGAAACTGCCGTCACGGGTTTGGAATTTTAAAAATCGCAAACACCTCGTGTCTTAGAAATTCCCGACCAAACTTTTATGTTTGGGTTGAAAAATCACCCAAAAACCATGAACTCATACCTATGTATGAGTTTACTCCCCAAAAAGTTAATCATTTGTGTTTACTCCCCAAATGTCAAAAGAGTAAACTCCAAAATATCCTCTCAAGTATCATCCAAGTTTTTATTAAAAATCTTTAATCTAGTAAGTGTTTCTAGCCCTTTCAAGTTAGTATATCACTTAATCTAGTGATTGTACATCCTTTAATCCATCCATTTTTGTGTTTTGATTAGTTTCCAAAAACACCAAGAACACACACTAAGTGTTCTTGGATTTAAAGTTCATTTCAAGCTTCCTCTATGTAAGTACTTCTATCCTAGAGTCATTTTAAGCTTGCTATACATGTTTATACCAAGGAAAAGTCCCAAGAACACCAAGAACAAGGTGTTCACGGTTTTGGGAGGCTCCCAAAACCGTAAACACCCAATATAGTGCCTTAGGGCGCTATAGGGTGTCTAGATGCTTCACAATGCCTTAAGGACTTGTCTAGATCCATCCTTGATGGGTGTATCACACAAAAAGCACCAAAATCATATATTTGTATTTGTTTATGGTTTGGGGATCTCCCAAAACTGTAAACACCTCAAATGTTGTGTAAATGTCCCATAAATTGCCCATGGTTGTTCCTTATGGCTAGAATCTAACCTAGACTAGTGCCATGTTTGAGCTAAGGACTTCAAAACCGCCAAATACCAAACTTAAGAGTTTAAGGTAGTAAAATCATGAGTTTAAGGTAGTAAACTCATGGAGAATTGGTCCTTAGATTGTAAACTCCATTTAGGAGTGTTTTGATGCCACACAACACTTCCTAAGGCTAAATCATGAAGTAGGAATACTTGGAATAGCTTAGAAGACTTCAAACCAACAAATGGTCATAAAGTGTAGAGTTTACAACCATAAACCCTTAAGTTTACTTCCGGAAACTTCTTGGGTAATGGTCATGAAAACCGTAAACTCCAAGGGAGTTTACCTTTGAACCCCAAACACACTAGCCTTTCCCTACAACACTTAGATGCACTCCTTAGCACTTATAACACTTATACAAAGTGTTTGTCATGCCTTAGAGTGTCTTGAATTTGTTTATTAGTTGTTTAAAGACTAATTGTTTATACACATATATCCTTATATGTTATTAGGATCTTTGTGCGTGTCTAAGTCTTCACTTGACACCAAGCACTTATCCGACACTTCCTTCCGATCCACTTGCTACAGGTGAGTTCATACCCCTTAATCAATGTTTTAAATGTTTTTAAATACTTTATGGGGTGATACAAGTAGAATCATGCTACTTATTATATCAATCACACGTAATTAATAAGCAGCATTCAAATGATTTACTAATCATTAGCCGTCTTACCGAAACAGTTTCCTTCAAATGTTTTTAATAAACACTTTATGTGTTTAAAACTCCTTATTACACTGTACATTTTACTTTGTATGTTACATTTCAAACTTATTTACAATTGTGTTTCAAAAAAATGTTTCTTTATACTAAACTGTTTTATCAAACCCATGCCTTCCAAACGTTTTATAGATTGACATCACGTCGATCTTTTCTTAGATAATAATTATGTTCAAAGGTTTTACAAAACTTACTTTATGATTTTATATTATAAATTGCATGCCTATATATGTATATTTATATAAGGAATGTTCGAAAGACTTAGGAAGGCTATCCACCCTATTTCCTTTTCGTGCTTGAGACGTGGTCTGGTGGGACATCGGGTATCCATCCGAAGGTCGTTTAAATATTAGTTATATATCATGTGTACATATATAGTCATAAAAGTCCTTCCAGTTCATCCAATTCCCTTGGGTAAAGAGGGTATACATCCATGTCCATAC